CTACATCTCCTTCTGTGCACTACGTCCTCCTGAGTTCCCGTTAACACAGCGTTGCGCACCTCATGTCTTGACCCAGTTTTGCTTGAATAACTTAGCTTATCGGGACCCCAGGGAACAGCTGGTGATGTAGTGCAAGTGTTCAGACTGGAACAAAAACAAACTGTTCTGCACACGGACAGGCCAGCGGGTCAGGGTTTGACACGGACAGAGATCAAAAAGTGCAACACACCGCAAATGATGCCATCATTAACTGTTTTCATGCGCATTTTAGATTATTGCATGAAAAAAAATGCTTAATGGAAGATATGCATGCATTTCTTAAATGTGCATAAAATGTGTGTGCATAATAGAGTAGCATAGAAAAAATGCACTCTGATGGACAATTACACAATAAACTCACTAAAAGAGTTGTGATTTAGTTTTATTAGATGATGATCAGATGTAAATGTGTGTGATGGGACTTTGCAGTGTTTCCAGCACACTGTAGAACATCTGAAATGTTGTTTTGCTGATTTTTAAAACTCATCACAGAGCTTCAGCATTATTATTACTCTATTATTATTCCCTCCAGAACTGTCTTGAGCATCAGTCTGTGCTCCCAAAGAGCGTTTCACACCTCTAAAAAGTACCGCATTGCTTTCATTGTTTCATCATTATTTTCTGAGGCGCAACTCATTTATCAAAGAAGAAAAAACACCACAGTGGCTTCTCCAAACACACTCAACTACATTTCTCTGACTGATATCTGCTCCAGTTTATCTGAAAGTGATGATTTTGTTCTCTTTTGTTTCTCATTGAGAAAAAATGCTGCTTTATTTGCTAATATTTTATGCGGTATTACTGTTTTGTGCTACTTCACATCTTTGAACAGAAATTGATATTTACTCGCCCGACAACATTCTTTCATTCATTTTCTTGTCGGCTTAGTCCCTTTATTAATCCGGGTTCGCCACAGCAGGATGAACCGCCAACTTATCCAGCAAGTTTTGACACAGCGGATGCCGTCCAGCTGCAACCCATCTCTGGGAAACATCCACACACAGTCATTCACACACACACTACAGACAATTTAGCCTCCCCAATTCACCTGTACTGCATGTCTTTAGACTGTGGGGGAAACCGGAGCACCCGGAGGAAACCCACGCGAAGGCAGGGAGAGCCAGACAACATGACAACACAAATAAAGATGTTCTAAAGGATTAAATTAGCAACGTTTTTTAATGCAGTTATACTCAATATGCTTTAGAGAAGTGGTTCTGAAACTTTTTTCACCAAGTACCACCATAATGACCAGTAATGAAATAAAGCAGTGAGGTTGGTCAAATTAAGCAGCTACAGCACTGCACAGTTCAAAAACAAGCCATAATCATATTTATACAATTTTCGATAGATTTTGAAATATATGTTGCATGTTCATATGACGTACTTGTAAAACTTATTGAAATCTAAACATTATCTTGTATGTAGATTGCTAGGAAACCTGTTTTTCTCAGAGGATGTTAAGCTGACAGAACATTGCTGCACTCTAATATGAGCTCTGTTAATGGAGAAAATTAAGACGCACGGCAGTGTTTGGGTGTTCTGTGTTTGAGATAATTAGTCTTACAAAGTTATATTCTATATAAATTCTATATATTCTATATAAAATATAAAGCTTGTCACGTGACTCGCAGTGCGGCATTCTAAAAAGTTAAGATGTTTTCAACTGGGTATGCCTGGAATACGCGAGCGCGTTGGCTGCAGTTCTAACTCATTTTTCTAGCTAAATTTTGATGCTCAACTGACCGATATGTAACAAGAGAATACGGTCATTTTTCAAAATTGTATTAATTTTCTTCTTTCATCACTCAGTGATTCCTTCGCGTACCACTAGAAGTAAGCCTGCGTACCACAGTTTGAGAACCACTGCTTTAGAGCCTATGTTGAAATAGCTCTCAGTGCGAAAGGCTGGATGAAGTCTTCATCAGAGGTGTGCAGTGAGGAGACTGAGTATTGAAAACGTCGTTTTTTTTTTTTTCTCAGAAAACATATTTCTAAAGGTGCCTCATTTCAGCTCGTGCACATGCGCTCACGTTGATTCAGATGTACAAAGAGAATATGCATGAGATTCGGCGTACGCAGTGTTTCATACATCTGAATTTTTTACTGCGTACGCATATTTACAGCTGACCGTACACAGTGTTTTAGTATTGATTCAACGCAAGTCTTCGTACATGAGGCCCCTGAACACCAAGCATGTATAATTAGTTTTTAAATGGTTATATTATACCCCTTAAATCAGTGATTTGGAAAAGGCCTCAGTGTGTGTGTGTGTGTGTTTCAGCTATTCAGGTCTTGTTTTTGCGATTTGATGTCTCATCTGGGTCAAAACCTGAATGATAATAAGGGTTAAAGTGATTTTAATTCACTTCTTTTTCTTTTGAAAAGCAGTGCCATTATGTTCAGCCTATTTTCTGCAGTTCTTGATCACAGTCCATTACTTTATCCTCATCCATCTCACTGAGAAGCCCCTAAAAACCCTCTGTTTTCACTTTCGGCTCTCAGAGAGTGTCTGTTCTCACTCTTTGTTTTTTTTTTCCTCGATGTTTAGAATTCTTTTGGTTTAGTTTTTATTTTTACTTGTGATGATTTTCTGAAAGTTAGTGCAGATTTGTGGTGATTTTGCCACTTTTCAAGCCAGTTTTTACTTTGATTATCAAATTTCATTACAGAATGAACAGGTTACACATGCGTGAACTCACTGTCTTCACTTTATACACTGCATCCTGAAAGTATTGATAGCGCTTCTCTTTTTTTCACATTTGTTTATGTTACAGCCTTTTTCCAAAAAAGATTAAATCGATTATTTCCTCAACATTCTTCACACAATCCCCCATAATGACAATGTGAAAAAAGAGTTTTTGAAATTGTTGCAAATTTTTTTTAGAAATAAAAAAGCTGAAAAACACATGTACATCCAGGGTTCAACGCTAAGGATTTTTTCTACTGGGCCGATTGGGCCAGTGGTTAAGGTTTTTAATTGCCCTGCCAAAATTTTCACTGGCCCCACCAAAAAAAAAAAAAAAGGTTAATAGCTATTTCTTAGCCACATATTTTAAAAAATGTGGCAAAATAATGTCTATGAATCGAGAATTTAAACATTTAAAAAATGTTAATAAATGTATAATTAGCAAAATTAGTTTGATTTTATGCGAACGAAAGAGCAGTATGAAAAATGTGCTGGTATTTTAGTGCAATTCTAAATTTTTTTCTAAAAATGGCTTGCCAAACCTTTTTTTGTTGTTGTTGTTCTTTTTTTCAGTTTCTTAATTTAGTACCCATGTAATTGTCTGCTTCCAAGACTTTAGAAACTGACGTTGTCTTTTAGCCTCATAGTTAGATGTTGCCATCTTTTCGCTGTACTTGTTGTTACCATGTTACAAAAAAAATAGCATGCTCACCGTTACTGGCCGATAGGGGCCAGTAACAATCCTGTCTACTGTCCCGAGCGTCTTTCACGCTGGCTCCGGGTCACCGGGCAGTCCTTATTGTTGAGCCCTGACATCAGTATTTACAGCCTTTGCTGTGACGCTCTAAATCAGGGGTCACCAATCCCAGTCCTGGAGGGCCGGTGTCCCTGCAGTGTTTAGCTCCAACTTGCCTCAACACATCTTCCTGGGTGTTTCAAGTATACCTAGTTAGACCTTGATTAGCTTGTTCAGGTGTGATTGATTAGGGTTGGAGAGAAAATCTGCAGGACACCGGCCCTCCAAGAAGAAGTTTGGTATCCCCTGCTCTAAATCAAGCATTATTATTATTAACCTCCAAATTGGATCCTGGAGGGCCGGTGTCCTGCAAAGTTTAGTTCCAACCACAATCAGACACACCTGGGCTAATCGAGCTCTTACAAGACTTTCTAGAAACATCCATGCAGGTGTGTTGAGGCAAGTTGGAGCTGAAATCTGCAGGACACCGGCCCTCCAGGACCGAGTTTGGACACCCCAGCTCTAAACTGAGCTCAGGTACATTCTGTTTCCACTAATCATTCATCATTCTGGAGATGTTTCAGCAGCTTCATTGGAGTTCACCTGTGGTCAATTCAGATGATTGGACGTGATCTGAAAAGGCGTACACCTGTCTATATAAGGGCCCAGGGTTGACAGTGCATGTCAAAGCACAAACCAAGCATGAAGACAAAGGAATTGTCTGTAGAAGTTACAGAAACATTTCTGCTGCTCTGATAGTTCCAATGAGCACAGCGGCCTCCATCATCCGTAAGTGGAAGATGTTTGGAACCACCAGGACTCTTCCTAGAGCTGGCCGGCCATCTAAGCTGAGTGATTGGAGGAGAAGGGCCTTAGTCAGGGCGGTGATGAATAACCCGATGGTCACTCTGTCTGAGCTCCAGCGTTCTTCTGTGGAGAGAGGAAAACCTTACAGAAGGACAACCATCTGTGCAGCAATACACCAATCAGGCATCTGTATGGTAGAGTGGCCAGACGGGAGACAGGATATTGCCAAAAGGAATCTGAAACAAAACTCTCTGCTCTGATGAGACTAAAATTAAACTCTTTGGAGTGAATGTCAGGCGTTACGTTTGGAGAATACTAGGCAGCGCTCACCACCAGGCTAATAGCATCCCTACAGTGAAGCATGGTGGTGTTGGCATCATGCTGTGGGGATGTGTTTCAGCAGCACGAACTGGAAGACTAGTCAGGATAGTCGAGTTTGTGTGTATGTGTTTGTGTGTGTGTGTGTGTGTGTGTGTATGTGCATGTATATGAGTGTTTACGTGTAGGTGTGTGTATGTGTGTGTAAACAGCTCCAGAACACACAGATTGACCTGAAATGAAGCAGTATGTCAGTTTGCTTGTTGTATCTGGAGTGTGTGTGTGTGTATTGATTCCTCTCAGCAGAGGCAGGAGCTTCACTCACTTCAGACGAGCAGGAATAAATAGAGCAGCGTGAAGACGGAGGCTGGAAGACACACCGGGACGCATCATTAACACAGAGCCACACTCGAGTCACCGCCGCCATCTTTATTTTGAAGAGTAAAAAAGTGACAGATGGGGGATAAACGCTGAGCGATGACATCATCATAGCACTGTTCACACACACACAAATCAAACACTTGATCAACACGAGCCGAGGAAAAGAAGAGCTTAAGGATCTGGTGTGAAACCAAACACACACACACACGTGCGCGCACACATACACGCTCTTCAGCATTATAACAGGGTGTGATGCTCTAAGGCCACTGTGGGTGCTTTTCTGAAGCGTCATACACATCAAACAGGAAGAAACACAACTCATGTAGAGTTCAAGACCACCCCAAATCACTGTCAGCCAATCACAGGCCGGCCTCCCTCCAG